TGCCTTGTGTATCTTAATGGAAGAACATACGTTTTTCAGATGTGTAGTGTTTTGATGTCACTGTTGTCTTTAAGAATTTGTTCCAGTGTAGCTGTAGGGATGAAAATAATTATCTGTGATTTTTTTGCTTTCACTCATGGTCCTTAGTAGATGAATGAGCCAGAATTAATTTGACATTTATCTAATGGAGTATGGCACCATCTACATCATGTTGCTGATGTTCCCGATCTCCAAATAGATGTGACCTTGGATGTTACTGTATTTATGCCCCAGACTTGGCAATTATTAAATGGGGGATAAAGGTGGAGGAGACAGCAAATGGCCCTGGGAGGAGATCCAGGCCGCTGTAGTGAACCTCGCGGCGTAGATCGCCTGCACAACTCGTGAGTTAAACCGGTGCCCTGAGATAATGGCTGTGTTTCATTGAGTGATAAAGTTCTCATTGTGAGGATGGAAGTGCGGTGGGAGCCTCAGTCGCAGATTTCTTAGCTATGAGACTGTGGTTCGCGCTCTCTTTGTACATGCACTTTGTGTAGCTTTCTTTTCATTTGCAGATGTGTTTCCGTTTCAGTCAGGTTTAAGCTCTAACAGCTGTTTGATAAGGGGCTAGAAAAAGGCCAAGTTACAAATGAACCTTAATGCTGTACATTATTATTATTACTACTAGACAATCACTGCGTTTAAATGTGACACAAAGGGCTCTTCAGCAAGTATTTAAGAAGTATGTGATGGATTTGGGTGTGAGAGGTCCTGGTTTCAAGCGCCTACGTATGTTACAACCCACTGAAGTGTTATCTGGGATGGGGTGTAACAAAGTGGAAACAAAAACGTAATAGTTAATGTCAGTGGAACATCATTTAATTTACAATTAAGGCAAAATTAGAACAAAAATAAGACACGGGGAAACTCTAAGTGTCATTGTCTCAGTGACCGAAATAACAAGAAAAAGGCTGAAACAAAAATGGCAGAAAAACCTTCCTGCTTCCCCTGTGGACCACTACAATTCCCGTTGTAAAGATACACCTTCAACCAAACCAACAAACAAAACAAAGTCACACCGAGCTTCACTAGTTGTGCACAGCTACAGTCCACTACCCGAATCACTGCAGGTGAAAACAGGGAGAATGGCGCGGCATTTGGACGAGCTGCAGCACATCTCATCTGTGGTTAGACCTGAAACACAGGAGGAGAAAGATTCCTCTCACATGGGGAGAGCCCCTAGAGGTCAGGAACTGTAACAACAGCTACTGTATTTGTAGTGTCACAGAGCTACTAGCATGGCTTTGTAAAAGCAACACACACCAGAGTGCATCGAACCATCTGTGGCCATTTAGGGTTCAGTATCCTGCCCAAGGACACATGACAGACCGAAGGAGCCAGGCATCAAACCACCAGCCCCTGCTGGACTTCCTGACCCACAGCCACCTCACTCTCAGTATCGTCTGTTTCTCTGATCTCTGTGCACCCGTCAGTTATTGTCTAATTACTTTGCATTTCAGTGTTTTGGGGCTCTCAGAATCACATTTTAAATCCTTCTCCACATGCAAGCTCGCGAATGAGTTATAACATAAAAGTCCAAATATTCTACCTCAGTAAGTGAGTCTAAATGGGTCTTTGTAGTCTCTCAGGGCTTTCGCTCTGTGCTTTTTGTATATTAATGATGTGCATGGTCATGTCCAGGTAGTTGGTCAGACCTTTGAAGAAGAAGGCAAATTACCTAAGTAGCTGGATTTTTTTTCTTTTTCCCATCATTGTTTCACAACGTGAGGCCAAGGTTCTTGTGAATCTTAAGGACGCTCTGATGAAAGAGATGAGAAAAGTCAAGGAGGATGTTTGCTGCACCTTAAAGGATAGAAATGCATCGACTCACGACTGATGTGGGATCACGAAGCTGGTTTATTTTCACATTTAGTTTAATCAACGTTTGTCTTACAATTCACGAGAACTTCAGTACATACAGTTTTTAATTAAACTCATTCTTC